ATGCCGAGAGCAGTGCTTGCCCCACATGCATCCGAGCAGAAAAACAAGAAAATAGCCTTCAGCACTCCGAATGTCTGGCTGTTTCAACTCCAGAGAGCAAAGGGAACAACATTTATTGAAAGTGTGTGCTCTTCATTTAGGAACGCAGAGCCGTGCTCCATGCTATTCGCATAGCTGTTTAGGCTTATGTTATATATGCTTTTAAACTATTGGACTGGAGTCTTTGGCATGGATCGGAGATAGATTGGAAAAAGTCAAAAAACAGACAGAACTGTTCTACCCGACAGCCAAATCCAAGTGCTGGAACACTGAGGAATCAAGTCTCCACTAATTAAACAGCCTAGAGTTTGTGTGTGTGTGTGTGTGTGTGTGTGTTTTGTTTTTTGTTTTTTCTTGTAGTTTAGTTTGTTTTTGTTTTTGTTTTTAAAGATGTGCCCTGTCCTATGAGGAGGGCAGTTGTGTAAAATACCTGTGTGTGTTGACTTCAAATGGATGCAACACTGCAATCTTTCCAAACAGCTGAAAACCCTCTGGTCCCTTATGATTTCCAAAAGGTACTCCTTAAATGGGCATAACTGACGGGTGATTGGCTAGTGAGCTACAGCAAAGGCTGAGTCAGAGTGACCTGCTGAAGGCAGCATCGTGTGTGTGTGTGTGTGTGTGTGTGTGTGTGTGTGTGTGTGTGTAGAAAAGGGGGAGCAGTGGGCAAGGGGCGGGGGTGAAAGGAGGCTGCAAGCTTAGCAGAATGTTTGAACAAGACAAAGAGCAGTTCCAGCAACCAAATAAGGAAGTCAGTGCTGAAGTATTTCAGAATAGAAGTGTGTCAGGGATTCAAGGCCATCTGGGAAAGTTAAAATAAGCAAAGGAAAATGGCACAGGATTTCTGTTTTACTTGCTTATGCAAAATATACAGGGAAACTAGTGTCTCTGGTCTTTAAACTGAAGTGAGAAGTACAGATGGTATCTATCCCTTTCTGTTGGCTTTTTGTGGATGTCTGAAGAGATATTTAGAAACTCTTAGTAGCAGCTGAAATAATAAGCATTCTCTTGTTAAACATTAAAAAAAAAACACAAGTTATACATCGGAAACACTACAGCATTCTTTGCCTGTATAATTAATAAGACTTTTAGCCATAGGTGATCAAAGTTTATAAACACCAACAAAAATATCTTGAAACCTATGTTTAGACATGGCCCAAATATTGAATTATAATTATATTCTTTGGAGGAAATTTTAACTCTTAAAAAAGTAGTGCAATGTCCATTAGACAACGTCTATTTTAAATATGTTGGTAGTTCCTGAAGAAGTAGTCAGAAAAGGCAAATTATGCAGAGAAACCATCTCAGGGCCTTTTATTTTCATGATTTCTTTTTTTTTCTCCATTCAATCACTTTTTATTATTACCACGTACAAAATGAATTTTTCCAGCATGAATACACTGTATTATCAGTCTAGTCAAGGATATTACCATACCAATTATTATCAACCAATAATTTTCCATTTTCATGTCCCTTAAATGTTTCACTTCTTTCTTTTTCCTCTTGATTTTCTTCCTCTCTCCTTCCCCCATGTCTCACCCACCTGTCTCTAGTATCCACAGTTGTTCTCCATGCTTTTATACCTTGTAGTCTTTCCGTTTCTGCCATAGAGGGCAGACATTGGGTATATATACAGAGTGGGGACATACAATGCCTATCTTTAATAGTCTGGCTTGCTTTGCTTAGCAGTACATCTTTCATATTCGTCCACTTTCTATCAAATGCCAGGGTCTCAGGCTGAGTAGTATTCTGTAGTGTGCCATACCTTTTCAATACTTTTTTTCTTTTTTTACATTTTTGTCACCCCTACATGGAACATTTCAAAGATTGGCCACATGATAGAGCACAAAATAAGTCCTTACAAATTCAGATGGATAGAAACTATACCTAGCATCTTCTCTAACTATGATAGAATTAAACTGGAAATCAACTACAGGGAAAAAACCCTCAAAAATGCACAGACATGGAAACTAAAAAACCTACTCCTGAATGACTTCACAACTACTGAAGAAATTAAGACTGAAATCAAAAATTCAATTGAAACCAATAATAATGAGCACAAGAGTTTTCATAACCTATGAGCTATAGCAAAAGCAGTCATTAAGAGGAACGTTCATAGCAATTAGAAAAAAATGGAAAGATGGCAAATAGACAATCTATCAAAATATCTTGGGGCCCATTATTGCTTTACCAGTATCACCTTCCAACCTCTCCAAGATGCTAAATAATATTTGTTACATATACTATAAACTAACATTAATTTTATTTGGACACTTCTTTGCAGGATGGGTGAAAGATGATAGAGTTTGAAAGAAGAATTTCACATGCCTCCTTTTTTTTTTTTTTCAGTGCCACAAAACCAACATTGAGAAAATATTTCCATTGATAAAAAAATCAATTTATTGATGTCCACAGTGAAAAATAAACATAGGTCATTCATCCCAGGTCAGAATTTATGAAATCCTCAATTCCTCATTTAACTCTAAATTGTTTGCAACTTTAAGATAGGCAAGTGTACAGATCGATCCTTCTGTTCCCACACCAGATGTACAATTGTGTCCCCACATTTGAATCAGAAACTACCAGAACGTTGCCTTCAGCACTCCTGGTGTCTGCCTATTTCAACTCCAGAGAGTGAGGGGAGTGGCATTTATTGAAAGTGTGTGTTCCTCATTTAGGAATGCAGAGTTGTACTCTGTGCTATTAGAATAGCCATGTAGGCCTATCTGATACCTGCCTAGTAGGCAGAAAAGTCTGAGTAGAAAATTGGCATGCAATAAAGCGCATACCAGAGCACACAGACTGACTACTACATTTTGGTGCTCTTTCAGTCTAGCACATTCTAGTTCCAGAAACAAACCACCTGCACCCCCTCATCCTACCTCCCCTCTGAAATTTAACTGCTTAATAAGCCACTTTTGTCCCTCTTCAGGAAAAGGCCAGGCTTAGGAGAAAATGTTTCAATTCTAACTATCGAAGAATTAAAAATTGAAGTGTGATACAAAAATTATACCCACAAATTAGCAATTTTTAATGAAAAAGCCATATCCTAACAGTGTTTTATAATTTGACCCCTTTAAAAAAAAAAGTAATTTAACAATAGATATCAAGAAACATAAAGAGTCTTCATCCTCAAAAATCATACTTTTTAGTATTTGTCCTGAGGAAGTAATTCAAAATAAAACAAAACAAAAGGTGTAAGTTTGAAAATGTGTAGTGTTGCATTTTTTTCTCCATTTCAAAAACAAAACAAAACAAAGTCTCTTTTTTGGCTTCTTAGCAAAGAAAAAAACCCAGAAACCCAAGATACACAATGTTCTTTTGTCCCAACTAATGAGATGTTATGCCGCAGCTAAAACTAGTCATGATTAAGACTATGAGGGCAAAAGCGTTCATAATAAATGATATAATAATATGTAAAGTGACCTGGTAAAATGATACACTATTCGTATAGCTGTGCTTTGAAGACAGGGAAAAAAGATGGAGAAAATAATACTATATAAGAGTTATGCATATAAGTACATTTTTGATGTCTTTATTATTTGTATGTTTTCATCATAAATATCTTTTTAAAAAAATAATGAAAAAGCTAGAAGGAAAGAAGTATGTTCCTATTTTAGAAAGAACTGAGGCTTACAATTGACCTCTGCAGCAAACGCAAGTCACAAACTTCTGTTTGCACAGTTATTGGTACTGGAACAGGCTTTGCAATTTATAAAACTGTTTTACTTACTGACTGGATATGTGAATTATCTGCAAAAAGTAAAGCTGCCTGTAGTTCTTTTGAGAAAAACAGTTACCAAAAAAGTAACTGCAGAGGCTCCGAGATGACTTCCCTGTGATCCCTCCAGTATAAAATAGCTCTGAATACCGCCAGGTAGTCAGAGATGGGCAGAGTTGGTTGGGATTAAACACTTGCTCCAGCAGCACCCCGGTTTAAACGAAGACAACACACACAGGAGGGTGTCTTCCTCAAAGCACTGAATGGTACCTGGTAAACAACCTTGATATTGATATCTCAGAATTATAATCTCTGCTCTCAGAGCAATTTAATATTCTGAGGCTTCCTCTCTGATGATCTCTCTGCCATTGGGAGTAATTAAAAAGACTTCTTGGGAGACCAGAAGATGGTGTAATAGTTATGTCGCTGGACTCCCATGTAGTCAACAACAGTTCAAGTCACAGACCCAGCAGATTGAGACTCACACATGGTGCATGTGTGTGCATGCCCAAAACCCCAAGAGAAGAATGGAGAAGAAGGGATTATGGTGTGGTCATCCCCCTGGGGAGTGATTTTTTGCTTTCTGTCTCTCTGGCAAGTGCACGCACCCTATAGCAAAAGACTCTCTTAATATAAAAAGACTTCTTGGGACCAGCAGATGGCATAATGACTATATCACTAGACTCCTACATGGCTGACCATGGTTCGAGTCCCAGACCCGGAGGCTTGAAAGTCACACCTGGCATGTGTGTGTTTGTGCCCAAGTTTCCAGGAGGAGAAGGGATTGCAGCATGGCTATCTTCCCTGGGGGGTGATTAATCATTTTCTGTCTCTCTGTCTCTCCAGCAAGTGCATACGCCCTTATAGCAAAAATCTCTCTCTTAATTAAAAAAAAAAAAAAAACTTCAGTGATTAGAAAACACTTTGCATACATAAGCTTATTTGAATTATTCCATTTACACAGGAATATTGAGACACAGAAGAATGCACAAATTATTTACATATTTAACTATCAAAAAGTAGGACCAGCTCTATGGCATGTGGTTAATGCAGCAGAGCCCACATTGACTGATCAGCAAAGTTAGAGTCCTGAACCAGCAGCTTGGGAAACACCAGGTACATATGCACGTGTGCCCAGAATGCCAACAAAAAGGAGAAATGGACGAGAAGGGCTTGCAGTGTGACCGTGCCCAATGAGGGCTGCTCTTTCTTTTTTTTTCCCATCTCTCTGTGTCTCTCTGACAAGCACATGTCCCCTCTAGCAAAAAATAAAGGGGGAAAAAAAGGTGAGGAAAAGTGAAGAAGTAATAAATATATCTTTAGATCATTTCCTATGAGGACTTATAATAAATAATAAATATTTTTCTATTTTTTTTTTTTTGGAGAGGTTTGCGCTATAGGGTGCGTGTGCTCCTCAGACAGACAGAGAGAGACATAGAGACAGAAAGCGAGAAATCACCCCCCCAGGGGGGATAGTCACGCCACAATCCCTTCTCCTCTCAGGATCTTGGGCACACACACACATGCGCCCGGCGTGAGTTTTAAGCCACGGGTCCAGGACGCGAACCGCGGTCCACTACGTGGGAGTCCAGCGACATAGCCATTACGCTAACTGCTGGTTCCCATAAATAATAAATATTTAGTAATTGCAGAATGTTAGATGTAATTTCATCCAACTCCCTATAGTGCAGATTTGAAAATCGAGACAGGACTCCAGTGAATTGTGTAGGATCCTAGAGCCCTGGGGGAGCTGACTCCTTTGTTTAATATGGCATTTAAAGCCCTCATGGATGTGTTTCTTTCAAGGCTCAGTTTATTGCCTTTCCATTCTTACTCCTCTCCCATGGTGCACTTAAACAGCACTTCAGTCAGTCTTAACAGACTGAGAGTTAGAAGGAACTTTAAACAGTCTGTATTCCCCCACTCACCCACCCCATGTTGTTGTCGGGGCTGGGACTTGAACCCAGTCAGTCTGCCAGTGTGGGATCTGACTTCCTCTGCACAGTCCTTAACTACTTTACTGTGGGTCCTGCCCTCACCCATATTCTTGACTTGGGCAAGGTGCTACTTTAACAGCCCGCTTCGTCTATTTAATTATTTGGAATGTAACTCCTTGGGGGCAGTGGCTGTGTTTCTCAGAAATAAAAACAGAGCACGCTGCAGCTACTGGAGCAATACCGTGTGCACTGTGCTAAATGCTCCCATCTCATTTAATCCTGGCAGCCATCCACAGAGTGTACAGTAGTGTTGTTCCCGTTCTACCTGAGAAGGAAACTGAGACACAGGGAGGTTAAATAACGTTCCCAGGGGCCCAGCAGGTGTTGTAGTGGTTAAGGCGCTGGACTCGCAATGTAGTCAACCACAGCTGAGTCCCAGACCCAGCAGCTTGAAACTCAGGCCGTACACATGTGCATGCATGCCCAAAATCCTGAGAGGAGAATGGAGGAGAAGGGATTGTGGCATGGCTGTCCCCCCAGGGGGATGATTTCTTGCTTTCTGTCTCTCTGTCTCTGTGTCTCTCTGTCTCTCTGCTGAGTGTACGTGCTCTATAACAAAAATCTCTAAAATAATTAAATTAAATTTAATTTAAAAATAGCATGCTCCAAATCATGCACCTAGCAAGTGATGAGGTTGGGATTCAGCCCCAAAGCATGAACTCTTAAGCATGAAATTTCATTACTTCAATAGATGTTCAATTAAACTTTTTTTTTTTTTTTAAGTTTTGCCATAGGACACATGCCCTTCCTGGGGAAAGGA